GGACCTGCAGGAGAGCAGAGCCCTCTGGAAGCTGCAGATGGAACTTGCAAAGAGGGTCTCAGGGCAGTACGCTGCCAACGTTGTTTTTGTCCCTGTAGTTGCAGCCCAACCCAGCACACTCAATGCCCCCCAGACAAGTCGCTGGATTCCTGGGGGTGACCCAGTGCTGAAATGGCCACTGGAAAGCCAAGAAACTCTGATTTATTCTCAATGAACACAAACATCCATGAACCATTTTGGGTCATCATTGTGAAACTCTCTCTACTGCTGAGTTCCTCTCCATCTGCCCTGCTAGCTCAGCAGCACCACTGCAGAGCCCTCATTTGCCTGTGGGCTCCCCAGCTTCCCCTCTTGGGGTGGGTCCAGAGGAGGGCACTAAGATGATCAGAAGCCTGGAGCAGCTCTGCTAGGAAGAAAAGTTGAGGGAACTGGACTTGCTTAGTTTGGGGAAGAGAAGATTCCGAGGAAACTTCATTGTGGCCTTCCAGTACTTCAAAGGAATGTATAAAGAGGAGGGGGAACGGCTGTTTAGGACAGTGGCTGGTGATAGAACAAGGGGGAGCGGTTTTAAACTGAGGCTGGGGAGGTTTAGGCTAGATATTAAAAGGAGGTTTTTCACCCAGATGGTAGTGAAGCCCTGGGACAGGTTGCCCACAGAGGTTGTGGATGCCCCATCCCTGGAGGCTTTCAAGGCCAGGCTGGAAATGAGAGGCTCTGGGCAGCCTGCTCTGGTGGTTGGTGACCCTGCCCATAACAGTGGGGTTGAAACTAGATGATCTTTATGGTCCTTTTCAGTATAGGCCATTCAATATTTCTAAGATAACATAGACTGTTTCAGAAAAAAACTGTGAGTCATTTGTTCAGGCAGATGAGAAGACGATCCCTACTGAAATTTGTCCATGACATTTTCCTCACTGCATCCTTGAGCTCCTGGTTCCTCATGCTGTAGATGAGGGGGTTTAGTGTTGGAGGCACCACCGAGTACAGAAATGAAACCACCAGGTCCAGGGATGGGGAGGAGATGGATGGGGGCTTCATGTAGGCCAAAAAGTCAGTGCTGAGAAAGAGGGAGAGCACAGCCAGGTGAGGGAGGCACGTGGAGAAGGCTTTGTGGCGTCCCTGCTCAGAGGGCATCCTCAGCACAGCCCTGAAGATCTGCACATAGGACACAACAATGAAAACAAAACACACAAATACGGCAAGAACACTAAGCACAATGAAACCAATTTCCCTGAGGTAGTCTGATTCAGAGCAGGAGAGCCTGAGGATGTGGGGGATTTCACAAAAGAACTGATCCACAACATTGCCACGGCACAGTGGCTGAGAAAATGTACTGATAGTGTGCAGCAGAGCAT